ACCTAAGGAAAAAACGTATATATTATACTGATTTTCCATAAAAGTTATACGTTATAAAACTTAATATTTTTATGGAAATTTTATATCAAATTTTTTATTGGGTAAAGGAAGTGCCAGGATTGATCTTACTATTCCAGTTGGTAACATATCATCGTTAGAACTATATCAATACTGTTCTTGTTAAATAACTGGAAACTATTTCAACCATTCGAGTAGTATTGATACAATTTGCTTTACAAGCTCATTCGAAAGCCTCAAGCCACTCTACTGGATCCTGATTTCCTCCTCTAAATGTTGGTAAATCTACCAATTGTTCTTCTCTCGTTTGTTATTCTTAAAGCCATCCTGCTAGCCCTTGTATGACTTGAAGGTAAGCATTGTCATTGTTTCCTCCTACTGGTATTATAACTGGTTGAGATGTAAGTATTGGCTGAGAGGTGTTTGTATTATTTGACGGTTGACTGCTAGGTACTGACTGAGAAGTTATTGTGTTAGTTGATTAAGAACTACCCCTCCAGAAGTTCGATGATAATCACATATTATATGGTTGAGCTACCATTGTTGACTGTGGTAGTTATATTTTGATGTCCCATTATATTATTTCCTCTGTTACTTGAGTTACTTCTAAGTCAACAGTTATTTACTGATTGTCAATTTGCGATTATAAAACTGGGGGTTGTAGATGGATTGCTATTTTAAAAAGGATCAAGTGATGCCAAGGGGTCAAATATACAACTATATTGAGTTATTTGGAAAAAATTGTAAGGATTTTCCAATGATGATCCACTATTTCTATTTTCTACTAATGGAGTTGTTACCCTTAAATTTGATAGCCTTAACGATTGATTACTAGATAATGTTGAGACTACTAATTGTTGAATATTTTCTATCCTAATAGGGGATGGAGACTTCCTATCATTACTTGTATTAAATGTAACTCTCTGAGGTATTCTACTTGGGGTTCCTTCTCTCTCTAGTTCATTTGCATTATCAAAGAAAGACATTTCCTGTAATGTTTTATTATCATCATTAACATATCCAAATAGGATATTTTATTTATAATTAGGAGCATATGTGTCATTTTCTTCATCATATTGCCTCTTATCTCCTAGGTATGATTGTCGTGATTATACATAAGATGGTATGTTAGATGGTGATTGAGATATGGGTGTGGTAGTTCCTGATGGTGGTTCATTTATTGCTACTGGCAGTATTATTCCTGAGGAGCTTTCATTACTTCCTTGAAAAGATGCTATAATAGTATCATTTTGATCTCTTTTCATATTTTCTGAGGTATTACTACAATTGCTATTTATAATTGAGTCAGTACTGCTAACACTTTCAATTTCCTACGATTGAAACTGTTTTGTTTTTACCTAAATTTGATATAATTTATCAGCGATGCTATCAAAGG